CTCATCCTGGTTATTTTAACTCAACATGTTTTGTGTTTTTTTCTTGTTTTTCTTCAGGGGAGTCTGTGGACGATTGCGGCGGAGGCTACAGTGAGTCCATCGCAGAAATGTGTGAGGAGCTGCAGAACGCCCTGACTCCGCTGCTCATTGTCACCCCAAACGGCCGCGACGAGTCAGGCGCCAACAGGGACTGTTTCCTGCTCAACCCCGCCGCCAAGTCCCCTCTTCACATGAGCATGTTCCGCTTCCTAGGTATAATCCAGTTAATCTCTCAGTCAGTTCTGCTGTGGTGTTAATCCTCCATAAACAAAACCCCAAAATATTCATGTTCAATTTAAAAAGCACAAATGCTCCTTGTGTATTTTCACTGATAAAACAGCTGGCCTGAACTGTTGAACATGCCTCATTTAATACAGATGTTTCTTTATTTTTTGATCTGTGGGTAATGTGGTCTGCCTTGTTGTGTCTACAGGAGTTCTCCTGGGTATTGCAATCAGGACTGGAAGTCCTCTTAGTCTGAATCTGGCAGAGCCTGTATGGAAACAGCTGGCAGGCATGAACCTGACCATTGCTGACCTCAGTGAGGTACGTACACACCCCTGCTCCTGTGCACAAAGGGGCTCTCAGTGTGGTTGCAATGATGAGGATTGAAGGTGTGAAAGAATAACATTTAAAAAGAAAAAAAATCTCTTGCTTGCTCTGGTCTGAATCTGTTGATGAGTTTGTAAATTTGGAGCATTTTCCACCAAATGAATGTGAGAGGGTCCTAACGATTGTAACCATGATAATTATCTGGCAACATACCGGGCTAACTACACCAGCAGAATGCTGAATGCATTTAGAGGAAACGTGAAAATACTATATAATTTGCAAAGTGCTGCCTTCAGAGGACTGAGAAGAACAATGGAGGAGGGATCCACTATGCCTTGAATACAACTGACACTGCTGCTTGTCTGCTGATTTCTTACTGAGACGTGAAGCTTCACAGTGTGAAATTCTTCTACTCTTTGGTAACATGTTGTGAAGGACACTTAAACCTTCTATTGTAATTTATTGCACTAACGATTTGATCTGAAGAACGTGTACACTCTCATCCATAGTTGGCATTTATCAGATCAAGTCAGTTTTGTATTCAGGTGACTTCAACAACTCTCATGAAACAGGGAGAAAAGTGTTTTACGATAAGAATACAGAAACTCTTCTTGCACAAGGCTCATTGTTTAACGACGAGCTCCTTAGTGTCAGAGATAATTTGAATGTACTGAACTCCTCAGGTCTCATGCAACTCCACAGGAGCGCTTATCGTCTCTCCAGCTACAGAGAGGAATGCTGCTCTTTATGTCAGATATTATATAACATGTCAAACCCTCATAAGCTGCATTATAACCTTTACATTCCTCTACAGATTAAAACCATAAGCCCATTATCTCCCTGCTCTCTAAATGGTACAGTGTGCTACAGTGTGGTAAAACTCGTACTGTACCTGCTCTTCAAAGATGCGGCCAAATATAATCGTGCATTATTTTTTATCGAAACAAGTAAAGATCGACAAACTTTGTAAGATGACGTGAATCCAAGCGGATCCCTCACGCTGTGATCATGAGCTCCAGAACCATCTCTCAGAGAGTACTGGGGTGGGAAAAAAAGGCCCCTCTCTCTTACAAAGCTTCTCTTGTTTTGCAGTTTTGCCCTTGAGATATTACAAAGGTTAGATAGGAAATGAATCCAGCACAAGACTAGAGAGAGAGTGGAACCGTGTGGAGCTCACGGGAACTGGGTTGTGGGCATGAGTTTGCTCTCCTACGCACTCACTCGAACAGCTGATCGTACTGTACATACCAGCTAAAGGGATAGTTTATGGAGTTCTTTATGATCTCCTCTGTTCCTCCCCAGGTTGATAAGGATTTTATTCCCGGCTTGATGTACATCCGGGACAACGAAGCCACGGCCGAGGAGTTTGAGGCCATGACCCTGCCCTTCACGGTGCCCAATGCCAGCGGCCAAGACATCCAGCTCAGCTCCAAGTACTCCCACATCACCCTGGAGAACCGTGCAGAATATGTGCGCCTGGCAATTAACTACAGGTGGGAAAAAAATAGCAGAATGAGTAAAAGTTACCATCTCTCATGTTTGTGAGTGTGTGTTTACCCTCCTGCCTCTTGTGTTTTCCACCCTGCAGGCTCCATGAGTTTGACGAGCAGGTGTCTGCAGTGCGCGAGGGCATGGCTCGAGTGGTTCCTGTTCCCCTGCTGTCTCTTTTCACCGGCTATGAGCTGGAAACTATGGTGAGTGGGGGCCGTTTCACTTTGTCACATTTCTTCCATTCTCACTCCACGGGCTGATTTAATGTTTTGAACCCCTCAGGTGTGTGGAAGCCCAGACATCCCACTCCACCTGCTGAAGTCCGTGGCCACTTACAAAGGGGTGGAGCCAACAGCACCGCTCATTCAGTGGTTCTGGGAAGTAATGGAGTCCTTCTCCAACACAGAGAGGTCTCTCTTCCTGAGGTTCGTCTGGGGTCGCACACGTCTGCCTCGCACTATCGCTGACTTCCGTGGGCGGGATTTCGTTGTGCAGGTAAGACGGGGAAAATCTAAAACTTAAAGTAATAGTTTGATATTTTCAGAAATGAGCTGTGTTACATTTTGAGTTGTTTGATTGCTTTCAAGACCATTTGATAGTTTGTCTTTAAGCGTTAGAGGGTGTGGTCTACAGAGGATTTCCGCGGTAGGTGTCACCCTCTTGTCCCACTCCTACTGCTACTGCTCAGCAACTCAGTTGCATTTGGACACGATGAGAAAGCTTTGATGCCCCTTGGTTTTTTACCATGTGTACTGTTTTTCAGTACAATTGAAGGGTGAGACTCAAGCATTGGACATATCATTGCTTGCTAACACCATTACCTGAAAAATGCTTTGTCACCTAAGTGCAATAAACCCTGGGATAAGATGGTACAAGAAGGATCCACCCCTCGTTTCCCAGGGATGGAAAGATATTGGAAGATCGGAATGTTGAAATGAGACAGTTTAGTTACACGGCAGCTGTGATGCAATTGTTTGATATTTGGGCAAATACAGTGTGAATACACAATCTTGATTTGAGTATGTAACACCACTGCTCATCTGTAAAAAACATGAGAGCCCTATAGTTTGTCCAGAACCCAGCTCACTGTTTCTCCATTTTCCAGTCTGTATGCTAATTAAAGCTAACCTAACCCCCTCCTGGTTGTAGCTTCATGTTTACTGTACAGAATAAGCATTTTTCAGAAAATTACTGTTTTTGTCCTTATTGTTGTGTAGTCATGTGACACTAACATCAACCTGAATCTAATCTTCACTGTCTTCAGGTCCTGGATAAGTACAACCCTCCTGACCACTTCCTGCCAGAGTCCTACACGTGTTTCTTCCTGCTCAAGCTGCCCAGGTACTCCTGTAAACAGGTGCTGGAGGAAAAACTCAAATATGCTATCCACTTCTGCAAGTCTATCGACACGGACGACTACGCACGCATCGCACTGTCAGGGGAGCCCGCCGCTGACGACAGCAGCGAAGACTCCGACAACGAGGATGCCGACTCCTTTGCTTCTGACTCCACCCAGGACTACTTAACTGGACACTGAACTCTGACCTCCAGAAGAACGAGTAGAAGAAGAGCCGCCACAGAGAGACTGCGTTAATGTCAGCTAATAACACACACACATTCATGTAGGCATTCTACTAAGACACAAACGTCTGTGGGGGAAAAATGTGCAATGAGCTTTAAAAGCATTATAAGCTAAAGAGAGGAACAAACACAGGTTTGCTCTGATTTAGTTTCTTTTAAAATATTTGGGGTGGTCAGCTGCACATGTGATTGTTGTGTTACATGGGAATTATGTATAATATTACAGTTACACAGTTTAAAGAAAATAAAAAGGCTCCAGCCTGGCACCGTGGTAGATTTCTCCCTTTGGTTTATGTGAATTACCTGTCCCTAGTTTGTATATAGAAAATTATGTGTGAAAGAACAGTAATATTTCTTTTTATTTCTTGGTAACAGCCATGTTTCTTTGTTTAAGTAAAATAAAAAACATTTTTAACTTGAAAAAGTCAGCGTTTCTCACTCGGCTCACGTCAGTCGGAGCCCACTGAAGGGTCATTTTAAGATTCCTGTATTCCCCCCTCCCCCACCATGTTTGTGCACTGTCTCCTTAAAGAATGTATATAATATGATTGTGCCATGTATTCACAGAGGGTCTCATTCCTGCATATTACATGTTCATACATTTCTGTTAATAAATACAAAAGGAAAAAAGATTAAAACCTTGAGTAAGTGACTGAGTGAGTGAGTCTTCCTTTTGGGTTCAGAAAGCAAGTCCCCATAATGTACATCATTAAATGTTTAGGTGAAGACTTGTCTTAGCCAATAGTTCCCTTTCACCTAAATCTTACACATTGGACCTTTAAGGTTCGGTTTACATTAGAGTTAGGGTAAGGTTACAGTTAGGGTTAGAGCAAGAACAGGTTAAGGTTTGGTTTATGTGATAGTGTAAAGTTAGGTTTAGGTTAAGTTTGGGGTTAGAAAAGTAGTAACTATATTTAAGTTAGAGTAAATCTCCAGAAGGTCAATGTAATGTGTGTGTGTATTATCACCTAATATTTCATACATGCCAGCAGGATGTCCAGGGTCTTTCTTTAGAAACAAGTTGTTTGTAATAATTTTTTTTGGAAACACCTATTTGTTGTTTTTTGTCGTCACTCAACAAATCAATCAAATAATGTTGTCTGGATTAAGGCTGTTGTGTAAAATGCATTGGAAGTGGTTAAAATCCTGATCTCATGAAACCATTGGATTGAGTTCAGATTCCTTCGGTCGGTTTTCTCAGCCCTTGATTTCGCTTGATGTTTTAGTCCAAATTATTCAGATTTGCCTTATAATTTCTCCGATGATCTATTTCAATATGTGGCACAGAGGTTAAGACAGGACAATAGTGGGGTGTTATCTGAATACTGTACATCACTGTTAAACCTCTATGGGAAATCTCCCATAGTTCAGTGTAGCGTGCTGCTGTCAGCTGTGCTGCAGCATCATGAGCTGGGACTGAGCTGAGAGAAGAAGGTGATGTGGTCTTGAGACCCTCACCCTTACTCATGCTCAGACTTCACTACACATTCCTTATGGTGTTTCTGGCGGTAGTAAACGCCCCCCCAGTCTGTGTGTGTGTCTGTGTGTGTGTGTGTCGTCTACTCGTCTACGTCCACTCCACCCTGTAAATTCATGCATAGTTCTGTGTAGTTCAAAGTCACGAGGAGAAGGGGAAAAAGCGTCCTGCTTTATGAAGGATTGATTTGGCTTAAAAATCATTAGCATTCTTTGTCGACTTAGTGCTTTTTCAGTAATAATCACGAAGAACATTATGCTGGTGGGAGTCAGGTGCTTTTCACTACCATCCAGAGACCGAAGGAAGGAGGGAGGAGGGTGCAGACGAGTACTGAATGGTCTCCATCCACGTGAGTGTGGTTGTGTCATATGGTCTGTTACATAAACCAGCTGGAAATTACACAAGGAAAAAAGGTTTTGTTTTCATGTAGCATCCGACATTAACAATAAATACATATAAACATATATGTTAGTATTTACATGGCTGATTTTTAAATGTTATACAATTTTTTACCAAAAAATCCAGCATTGAAATTGTTCACAAACTGTGTATTTGTGAAGTATTTGATCTTACAGTACAATATCCAGTGGTAACTCCTTATAAAACGTTTCATTGTTGTGTTATGAGGCATTCGCAGTCCTTGGTTGATAACAATCTGTTTTGAAACAGAAAAGGTTAATGCTGACTCCAGACACGT